GCTGAGATTGTTACTACTAACTGCTTTCAATTTGAGACTATGACCATCAATCTGAGGCAACAGAAGTCCCATTTGATACCTTTTTAACATTAGTAAAAGTATAAACCAGAAATAACTCAAATATCAAAAGAAGACTAGTTGAATAAATTCTAGTGAAGTCATATAAGTAAATCTCTTTTGGTGTTATATATCATGGTCCAGTTTACATTTATTGACATGGAAAAATATTGTTGATTTATTGCTAAGTGCAATGTTACAGAATAATTATTTCTGTGCATTCATACTCACTATTTCATAACAAATAGTGTGGAGAAATAGATAACAAAACATATTCATTGTAGGTCAAGTGTCAGCAAACCTAGTCTGGCCTGCTGCATACTTTTATAAATGAAGTTTTACTGGATCTCAATCATGTGTTTTCTGCTTTCCTGCTACAAGAGCAGAGCTGAGTAGTTGCAACAGAGACAATATGGTCAGTAATGCCTAATATATGTACCATCTGGTAATTTACAGAAAAAGTTTGCTGACTTTTATTCTGGATGAAGGAATAATGGGTGATTTTTAATTTTTGTCTGACTCTTATTTTCTACAGTGAGCATAAATTTATCATGAAGACATGTGTCTGTTATTAAACCATTAACCTGTTTAGAAAAAAACATATTAATCACATTAAACTCAAAATAAACCTTATATTTTTCATGGAATCATGAAAAATTTAATTATCACTTCCAACATTCTACTTCAAATACAAGATCTATGATGCAGTTAATGTTGATTGGTTTAAAAATTAAGACCATATATGGAATAACTATTCTATTTGCCAACAGGACTAGTTTCTGAAAACTGCTTTCAGAGCTTTTGGCATGTTCCTTTCATTTTCTGTGTCAACATCTTGGTCTTCTGAGGCTGTATTTGAGTAATATAGTGCTAAATTTCATGAATAGGTGAGTTAATTCCAGTAGTTTTTTGGAGTGAAAAAAAAGGGTGACAAATACATATTGAAAGCAGATTTTCTTCACAGGATTTGTCAACTGCATATGAAAACAGTTCCAAAAATTGAGGTTTTCAAAATATTCAGAACTTTGGAAAATAAGTGAATCAAAGTGAAACCTCCTAAGGAGGCTACTCTGAAAAACCAAATTCACTTGGATGAATAAATTATGTTTATTTGTTACAAAGGGCAATTCTGATGCAGCTAAGCAAATCTTGTTCAAAAATCCTGTAGGATAAAACCTTAAAAAAGATGTTTGAGTAATCAGGAAATTATTAAGACAGTCAAAAGACCTGTTAATTAACATTAGGAGAGGGAATACTTGAAAATGGAATTTGTATTAACTAGAAGTTCCAGATGACATGCATCTTTATTAAAAAGAAATGGCAGTGGGGCCTCCCCCGTGGCGCAGCGGTTGAGCGCTGGGTTGCGAGGCTGCCCGCGGCCTCTGCGGCGCCGGCTCAATCCCCGGCTGCTCCCCGCCACCGGAGGAGGGTCCCACATGGCGCGCAGACCTCTCCTGCCGCCCGCTGCTCCCCTCAGCAGTGTGCTTCGGTCCTTCTGCCTGCTCTGCTCCCCGCTCTGGCTCTGGTGAATTCTCTCACCCTCCCGCGCTTCTGACTGTACCCAGTGCTTGTATAAAAAATAAATAAATAAATAAAGATAATCATTTATATTAAAAAAAAAAGAAATGGCAGTAAACAGTACATTCATTAAACTTTCAAATACACAAAATAAAAGGACTTAAAATGCCATAAGGAAAGAGAAATAATATAATGGATTTTGATTTAAAACACCAAGCAATTGAAATGAGAAATAATAAAATTAGTCTTTGAAACTTATCAATTTACATATCCAGAAAGAGTGCCACAATTTAAATATATTAATGCATCAGTGACTTTCCTGATTTTAAGATTTGTTTTATTGACAAGCTAGTCCAGTGGCGTAAATATGATGGAACAAGTCATGCATTTCTAAAGTCAGAACTTTTCCCTGCTCTCCAAGATTAAGACTCCAACCTTATGTGGTGGATAAAAATTAAAACATACTTTATCTAAATTTTAGATCATGTAAATATTAATTACATCATATCTCTTACTGTTTTTAAAAGGAAATTGCTATCCTTAGTGTCTACTTTAATTACTTTAAGATATTCTTTGACCCAATCCACCTTTATATTAATACCTCTTATTACTGTTGTTCTCATTCAATTCCCAGTGATCAAGTACTCAACAAGCAAACCAACCGCAGCTTCCTAAGACTTAAGCATTTCCTCATGTTTTCACTTCTAACCATCTACTTCCTACTTTTTTTCCATCTCTATTCTGTGCCTATCTAAACTTGACCTTCAAAATCCAGCCAAATACTATTTTCTTTATGAAAAATGTCTCCTTCCGAACCCGAGGTAATCATTTCCTGCTTTAAGCTCTCATGCCTCTTCCCAGTTTCTATCACCAATTAGATGTCTCTGAATAACTCTTTCCTTCTCTGTGGAAACCGTTACTTGCTGAAGCATATACCTACTGTATTTACTGCTCTCTTCAGTGGGCAGAATAGCACACTGTCAGCAATTAGCATAGTTAATATGCACTTGTTAATAAATAAATGGTCTCTTGAAAAGGACTTAGGAAAAGGAAATCTATTTTTAAAAAAAAATCAGGCTATAGAGAAGAAACAAAATTGTGTTTGTCTTACTGTAATCTGAATTCCATGATTGATGAGTAGAATAGATATTTTCATGTAAGGCAAATATGCTTTAAAACCAAACAGTAATTATATAACAAAGCCACAGCTATTTCACATCTCTGGGTGGCTATTGTGTACCTTACCAGGTCCTCCCTTTGGGCAAGCAGATTAATCCACTGACTGGTGATTTTTTTTTAAGATTTAATTATTTATGCATACAAGAGCTGGGGTACAGGCCAGAGATGCAGGGGGTGAGAGGATCCACCAGAGACAGAGCGGGGAATAGAACAGGCAGATGGACTGAAATACACTGCTGAGGGGAGCAGCGGGCAAGACAGGAGAGGTCTGCTTCACCATGTGGGTTTCTCCCTGGCCAGCCGGGGATCAAACTCATGCTGCAGAGGCTATGGATTGCTTCATAGTGCAGTGCTTAACCCCTTGCGCCACTAGGGAGGCCCTGACTGGTGATTTGTGAAAGAAACCATCATGCCCATTTATGCCACATCCTAATCTGCAGGGCATTTTTTCACTTTGATGAGCTCAGTTTCATCTTTAAGATAGAAATAACCATTTGGACTTACCTATTTCACAAGTTTGTTGTGAGTGATAAGAAGAATATAAGTAATAGCACTTAGTAAATTACAAAGTTCTGTATAATTATATAGTTATAATGTAAGAGAACATAAGGACGATCAATATAAGGGATATTAAAATAGTAATATAAGTTAAGATTGTGTAGTTGACAGGTCATATTCTTTAGGTTAAATTTATATAAAATATGAAGGAAAGAAAGGTTTTGGTGTGTAATAACTTGTTTCCATCACCAGAAATTGAGTCATTCCGCAGGGGCAAATATTAAGATTACTCAATTATTTCACTGCTTTGTGAGTTCTATAAAATTACAAATTCAGTCTGAGGAGTCATAGATGAGTGTGGGCTGAAAGTAATCCTCAACTTAATTTACATAGTCTTACCATTTAGGAAGAATGATTTTTTTTCCTTCCCTCATACTATTGAGGTCAGTTTAATAAGTTTTAGGTCTTTTCCATTATCTTCATGGCATCTTGAACTTTTAATAAACTTGCTGAAAATGAATATAGATTGTGAAACCCAAGGATAAAAAGTTTACTGACATTCATTTGTTCCAGAGACCACCAGATTTAGAACTTACCTATAGAATCCTTGCTATGTCTGGTCTTGACCTGGATGGTTCCAATGCAGGAAAAGGGATAAAAATCAACTACTGATTAAGTAGAAATAGGATCTCCAGTCACTTTTAATGTATGTTATGTAGGTCTGTCCCCTCTACAGAACAGACTCATACTACCATTTCTCTGTTCCCCTGCTCAGTCCTTCCCACTTGGTCACCTGAGCCCATGGTACATAGTTCCAATTAACAGAGCACGTAACAAATACATTTTCACTTTCAATTCCCTTTCTCTCTTAATGAGAGTCTAACAGCATATCTAGACAATTTCTAAGAGCACTAGCTCTACTAGGATTAAACATGTGATGGAGTTTGCTGTTGCCTAAGAAGTTCCAGTTTCTTTCCCAAAGGAGCCACTCAACAGAATCTATGTTGAATAGTAAATGAGGTCTGATGAGTTAGATTCTGTTAAAGTCACTCTGACCCTTCTTGCAGTCTGCACATGAGCCCTGAGGATTATAAGTATTTAGTAGCTACATGATCAAAATGCCAAGATGTCTGTAAATGATTTGGTTAATCTTCATTTTGTGCTTAAGTTAGTGTCATTATTTAAAACTTATGATTTAGACTGGCAGTAATTAATAAGCATAATGAGTGGAATCTTTGCATCTTGTAGTTTGGATAAATTGAGTTGCCACTCAGAGCAGCAAAAACTTAACTAAACCTAATCAAAATGAACCATGTTCCCCCCCTCCCCTCTACCTTGCACACCAAAGTTAAAAGTTTAACTTGGTACAAAATTGAATTTTGATTTTATATTTATGTCATAATTAAATTGAATATTCAAATGAAACTATCATGACTTATCTCCTGTTATCTTCATGTCATGTAATCACATTACAGAATAGTTGGCTTTTGTGTATATTAAAAACTTCCCTAGAACAGAATTTACAATTCAAGCATACCAGACAGAAAGTTACCTGTTCTAAGTGGTAGAACAAAGTTGTTTTTCATAAGTCATCATGATCTGAGATGACTCAATTAACTAAAAATCTGTGCTGGCATAAAAACTACATATAGAAATGCAAATTTCTGGTTTTAATTCCTTTATGGCAGTTTATGTATGTTTATATGACATACGAAATTTTAATGTCATCTCTCTTGTGTCTCTCTTAGAAGATAAAGGGAAGTTAAAAGTGAACAGTTCCAGTCAGCCATCCAGCTCTGAAGGTGGCTCATTTCTCCTCAAATCTGGCACAGCACCCCTGGCACCTGGAGCTGCCACTTCTCCCTCCAAGAGCACAAATGGAGCTCCTGGTACTGTTTCTGAATCAGAAGAAGAAAAAGCCAAAAAATTACTTTATTGTTCACTATGCAAAGTGGCTGTGAACTCCCTGTCACAGCTAGAAGCACACAATACAGGTTAGCAGCTACCATTTGAATTTAAATAATGTTTATAACAAAGCCCAGCTTTCCCCATCAGAATGCCATATCTGTTGTTCAGACATTCAGTTTGTTCAATGTCTTCTCTACTTTTTTGATTCAAAGGACTATTTTCAACAAAAGTATAATCATGACTTTGGAAACAGCAAGGCAAAAACAGATTGGAGATAAAACTTGTTCTGTTCTTTATTCCCTCAAAAACCTCTAATACTTTCCAAAATTCATGTTGGTGAAGTTTCAAAGAGGGAAACAAATATCTGTGCACAATGTTCACTGCAGTACACATTAAAAAAAGAGAATAAAATGGAAACAACCTAAAAGTTCCTCAGTAGGAAAATATTGAATAAATTACAGTAACTGAATATGGTAAAATATATTACCTAGTCATTAAAATTTAATTACAAGAAAATATGTATATATGAAATTTTTAGGATGTTAGTATGATTTTAAAGATATTTATGTATGATTTTAGTATACTAAGGAAAAAAACCTGAAAAGAAATACACTAAAATGATAACCAGTGGCAATCCCTGGTCGGTGAAAATAAGAGTAATCTTTATTTTCTTATGCTTCACTCTACTATCCATATTTTCTTCATTTTATACTATTATGTTTTCCTGTTTTTTACAATGAAAATGTTATAGATGTATAATTACTATCAAAATGGTCATTAAAAAGCAATGGGAAATTCAGCCTGAAAACATTAAAAATAAATTTCTCAGGGATATGAAAAGAAAGCATTTCCTATCATTCTTAAATAACTATTTAATATGTCTCTTTCTGTCCTAGGATCTAAACACAAGACTATGGTTGAAGCTCGTAATGGAGCTGGTCCAATTAAATCCTATCCTCGACCTGGCTCAAGGTTAAAGATGCAGAATGGCAGTAAGGGTTCAGGACTACAGAATAAAACATTTCATTGTGAAATCTGTGATGTTCATGTTAACTCAGAAATTCAACTCAAACAGGTAGTATATCCTGAATTAGTAGCTACTGTTGCTTAGCATTGCCATTTGACTGTGTATCTCTGAATCTATGTAATGGCTTTCGCTGTGCTCAGTTAAATTTACTAACCTTTATGGGATCCATACAGCAATTGAAAACATACAGAAGGTACGTAGAAGAGAGTCAGTACCAAACATTTACACACCTGTATTACTCTCTGTCAGATCGCAGGTCAGGTATGAGGCAGGTGAGCACAGCCATCACCTGGAGCTTACAGTCCTCGGAAGGATCTTCTGGAAAGATAGTAAGATGGCCAGCGCTTGTCTTCCAAGGCCATTATCTGGTTAGGGAAAGAGACTCATCCGTCACAGTGGTAATACCAGGCAAAGTAGGGTGAATGCAATAGAGAAAGAACAGGGAGAAAAGCATTACAAGGGAGTGGCAAGAGTTTTAATGTGGAGAACATGGTGATTTTACCCAAACCATCTTGAAACTATGGACCTAGGATTAAGAATGGAAAAACCAGCTACCTCTATCTAGGAAATGTATTTTACCATTATTTTTTTAGGAAATATATTTTACAGGATAAATATCACATTTAGATTCAGCTAATGCATCATCTTTTTTCCAGCACATTTCTAGTCGAAGGCATAAGGATCGTGTTGCAGGGAAACCATTGAAGCCGAAATACAGCCCTTACAACAAACTCCAGCGGAGCCCAAGCATTTTAGCAGTAAGATCACCTCTCTTGCTCAGCTATTTGTGGGGTAGACTTGCTAACTTGGCAAGGACCATGGGTAAGGAGGGCCTAGGGACTCATTGGTCATTGAGAGGTTTTGATTTCAAATAGCCTTAGTAGGCAAAAGTTTCAGACTGAAGTGCTTTTGTCCCTTCTGTGGAACACCTTGAAGAGAGCTTCCTTCCAGAAGAGAAACTGAACTTCATGAAGTGCAATGCCTTACGCTTTAACAAGTCTCTCTCTCTTTTTCTCCACTCCCCGCACCCCCCAGAGGTAAAATGGGTGTTTGTGTTCTCTCTCCATGTCTACCAGGGGTCCAGCAATAGGTGTCATATATCCATCCCAGATGGATCATTTCATCATCTTCCTGGGACTCTGCCCAGTGTGGCAATCCCTGTGAGGGTAAAGCTCAGATTGGCCAGCTGGATACAATGCTGAGATTACCTCTCAGTTTCTTCAAAGCTACTGTCTGATGCTGCAAGCAGGTGTTACCTGCATTAAGCAAATCCAGCCTGCAAAGCGCCTCCTGATTTCAAAAGAGAAATTAATGATTCCTCCCTGGATTTCTTTTAATAAAGTTTCTAGCCCACTTGCAATCATTCCCAACGAGAAATTTAAGTTAGCTGCAGTTTTTCAAGAAACATTCTTTGAGTGGTCAGAGAAAAAGAGCTGAGACTGTTTTCATGACTCTTCATGGGGCCCTAATTTTCCAAACTTCAGTTACCTAGCTCAGTGAGCATTTTCAAGAGAAGTGAAGTGAAGGGTCATGCATACTGTCAAAAAAAAAAAAAAATACTCCCTCAAGGCTCATTGTGGTCTAAACAAATCAGAAACTGGAATTTAGCTCCATTATCTAAAGCAGGAAACCTTCTGGGTATGTTTGTTCTTTCTGAGCTATAGCATGAAATCACCCCAGTGTCTGTTCAGAGAGGTGGCCCTATGCCCCAGTGCCCAGGGGCAGATACTACCAGAAAAGAGTCGAGAAAGAAGCAAATCCAAGTACAGGTTTGCCAAGCTTCTTGGAAACCAGTTTCGTGAAAATAACCATTTGATTTCTCATAGTAAAGACTTTTACAAATTGACTTAATTTGCTATTTTACTTATGAAATTAGATGTGGTGCTGCTGTTCAAAACAGTATCTTCATCCCTTTCCTGGTTTTTCTCCCTCCATTAGGCAAAACTTGCATTCCAGAAGGATATGATGAAGCCTTTGACCCCCGCCTTCCTGTCCTCGCCCCTGGCGGCGGCAGCGGCCGTAACCTCGGCACTGTCACTGCCACCTCGGCCGTCAGCCTCGCTCTTCCAGGCTCCAGCTATACCTCCAGCGCTCCTGAGACCTGGCCACGGGCCCATCCGCGCCACGCCTGCCTCCATCCTCTTCGCTCCATACTGAGGGCTGCAAGCCCTTCCGCCCCCCGCCCCATCCCTGCGATGTTGAGGCCAGTAGCAAAACAGAGAAGGAAAGCCACGAGGATACAGCAATTGAAGCATTTTGTGTTGCAGTGCTCCCACCCAGTCATAAAATGCAGCAGACTACTCGAGCCCTGACTCCAAAGAGTAACAAATCACTAGTTCATGAGTGCTTTTAGAGACCGCTCCTGTCATTTAGGAATCTGAGCAGCAAGGCTTTATCTCCTTATCCCCTTTCTTACATCCCCCCTCCCCCAATCAATTCGTGCATCTGAGATATTTGGTTTCTTGCAAATGTATTGGTCAGAAAAAAAAAATTATATATATATATATCATTCTCTGACTATTTTTCCATGGGTGTGATTTGGCTTAGAAACAATATGGAATATTTTCCTGACAGACTTGAAAACTAGGGTCTTCCTCACACGTCTGTACATAACTCTGGAATCCAACTGGGCACATTCAAGTGTGGAACAAAAATAGATGAACACAAGTGCTTACTTGTGGCTACCATCTTCCCGACGATCGCAACGTCTTCTTTTTGGTGTACTTTGTTGACAGGGATTGTGTACTGTTTTAGACCCAAGTACTGTTGTATCCTGTGTAGTTCTAGATCTGTATCTCTTGTCTGAATTAAACATTTTTAGTTGCTGTGTAAACGTTAGGAAGCAAAGTAGCTTTGAATTTTCTCTTTAAGAGAACAAAAGATAAAGTAATGTGTTTCCTTTATTTTACATTTTATTTGGTGATATTTAAACAAAATAGAAAGCCATATAACATAGCTATAATTACTATCTGTTTGCTATTTTTGTTTAACTTATTTGGTAGCTTCCTCACTGGTTTGAGTTGCTAAGCAAATGTGTACACACAGAAAAAGAGCTTCCTAAATTGCACATTTTTGCACCTCTAGTGCATTCTGCAAGAAGACAATGAATCTATGTATTTCTACGTAATTATCTTTTTCATTTTTAACCTGTTTTCATTTGTAATGATGCTACATAACTTTGTGGCTCCCTGATGCAATAATGTACAGAAGATAAAAAATTTATAATTGAACAATCTGTCTTTCTGTTCACTGAATATGTTGCAGGTCATGCTCCCATGCCCCCCTTTCTAAACTGATAGCAACAAGACTGGAATGTTTGTGATATCAGGGGCAAGAGGTATCATAAAACAACAAAATAGGGTGAATTCTTTTAGAGCATCTATATCTGCAATCTGTAAATGGTAAAATGTCTGTGTATTTTTTTAAATGTACCTTTTCAATAAAAGTGCAAAAAATAAAAATCTGTATTTTGAAAGTTATTTTCCCCTGAGACATCTCCAAATTGAAATCATCTGATGGAAGATTTTCAGTAGGTGCAAAGATTGCTTCTTACATATTTAGCATTTTCAGCTCTTATTTGCAGCATATTCATTTGTCATGTTTATTCATTACTGTTCACAGAATCTGCATGAGGCAAGACTTGACTGCTGTTTTCCCTCTGAATCTCTAAGAAGTTGAACCAAAGTTGTGAGTGAGGCTCAAAATCACAGTAGTGGCCTGTTAAAAGTTTGTGACTCTGATTTTTTTTTTTCAAACTTGCTGTGAGTTTTCTGAATCCCTAGCTCACTTTTAATTCATTTCCAAAGTTTTTATGACCTCTTTCAGAGAATTCTCTTCTGCTCCCCCTTCACATTCTCTAATCATCCTACTCTAACTTGTTCCAGTTATCTGTTGCTCTAAAACTTAGTGGCTTAAAAAGCAACCATTTCATTATATCACGACTTCAAGGGTCAGGAATCCCACCAGGAACTGACTGAATTGTTCTGTCCCCCCACATATCAGTAGAGGTCCCTTAGGTGGTATCCAGCTGGTGGGTGTGCTGGTCTGCAGGGTCTCAGATGGCTTCACTCATTTGTCTGCCTGGATGGAGATTGTTCAAAGACTGAATACTACTAGAACAGTTACTGAGAGCCTACATGTGGCCTCCCCAGCATTTTGATCTTAGGTAATTCAGGGACCCTAGTAATTCAGGGTCCCCCAGAAAGAGCATTTCAGGAGGTCTGGGTGGAAGGCAAACTGCTTCTTATAAAGTAGCATCGAAACTCTCAGCCTGTCATTTATACTACTTTCTGCTGATCAAGCAAGTCACTAAGGTCAATCAGGATTCAAAAGGAAGAAAAATTACACTTCCTTTGTTTTTTAGAGGAGCAATTGACATATAACATTGTGTCAGTTTCAGGGGTACAGTATAATGATTTGATATTTGTATGTATTGTCACCACAGTAAGTCTTATCTGCATCTGTTACCACACATAATTGCTATTTTTTTTCTTGTGATGAGAACTTTTATGATCTCTCTTAGCAACTTTTAATTATGCATTACAGCATTGTCAATTGTAATCAATATGCTTTATATTATATCCCGATGACTTACTTATTTAATAACTGGAAGTTTGTCCTTTAAATCTTCTTCACCCCTTTCACCACCCCCAAGCCCTTACCTCTGGCAACCACCAATCTATTATCAAGATTTGAAGCTTGGTTTTGTTCAGATTCCATATAAAAGAAAATAATGAGTTATTTTTCTTTGTTTGACTTACTTCACTTAAGCCTAATGCCCTCAGGATTCACTCATTCATGGTATTGATAATCGCAAGATTTCATTTTTTTTTCACTTTATTTTTTTATATTTTTTTTTTGTTTTTTACATCATTGTTCATTTTTAAACAATATTCCCCAGTTTCCTTCACCAATGCACCTGTGCACCATCACCTCAGTCCCCTATGCTCCTCCCTCCCTCCCTCTGACCCCTCTCCCTCCTCTTCCCCTGCAGGATGTCTCTGATTTATAACTGACCAAACAATATTACATTGTATATATTATATTTTACTTTTCAATGTGAAGAAAAGGTTTAGTTTTTATCTTTAACCTACATTAATTATGTTACAGAATTTTGAGGGGAGTGGTAACAAAACTATTATAGATCTCCTTTGCCACCACTTTAAGCCTAACCATGTTGATTTTTAAAAATGAAAAGAATTGGTATAGAGTAAAAACTCAGCTCCCATTTCTAAAAAATTATTTGGGGGGTACTCTATTTTTTTTATTGAGGTAATTGATTTAAAACATTGCATATGACTTAAAGTATGGAATCACCCTCTTCAGGTGTTGTTACCATACCACACCCAGCACCAAGACACCCATAGTCCTCTACCACAATCTTTTGTGCTCTGCCTCCACTTTTCTCTCCCCTCACCTCCCATAGCCACTCTACAGTCAGAATTCTAGGATTTGTCACTGGTTTGACTTTATCTGACCATTTATTTTGTTTCTATTTCACATATAAGTGACACCATCAAGTATTTGTCTTACCGACTGCTTAGCATAATCTCCTCCAGTTCTGTCCACATTGTCGAAAATGGCAAGGGTTTATCTTTCTTTCTTTGTAGCTGAGTAGTATTCCATTGTGTATATATTGAGTAGTATTTTTCCATTGAGTAGTATATTCATTGTGTATATATACACATCTTCCTAATCCCCGTAACTGTCTTTGGACACAAAGGTTTTTCCATAGCTTAGCTATTATAGATATTGCTGCAATGAACATAGGAGTGCATATATCCCTTGGAATTAGTGTTTTTTTAATCTTCAAATAGATACCTAGATTTAGAATTTCTGGATCATATTGTGGATCTACTTTTAATATTTTGAGAAATTTCCAAGGTCAGTAGATGATCGTGCAACTGTGGTAACATGGCAATAGACTTTCACTATAAGTTTATCCAGCATAGTTGAAGTTAATATTCTAACCAGGTTAGTTTTAAGATTAAGAATTTAATCACTTAAGGGCCTCCCCGGTGGCGCAGTGGTAGAGCGCTGGGTTGCAAAGCTGCCCGCGACCTCTGCGGTGCAGGTTCAGTCCCCGGCTGCTCCCCGGCCACCGGAGGAGGGTCCCACATGGCGCGCAGACCTCTCCTGCCGCCCGCTGCTCCCCTCAGCAGTGTATTTCGGTCCTTCTGCCTGCTCTGCTCCCCGCTCTGGCTCTGATGAATTCTCTCACCCTCCCGTGCTTCTGACTGTACCCAGTGCATGTATAAACAAAACAAACAAACAAACAAATAAATAAAAACATGCCTCTATTAAAAAAAAAATCTTTAAAAAAAAAAAGAATTTAATCACTTAAGATTTCAATTTGGCATTCAGAATTTGTTTATTTCAGTGCAACTCATTTGAAATTTAATACTAGTATACTAAGCCTTGGTTTGACTTTCAAACATGTCTCATAAACATCATGTACTGAAGGAATTGTGTTTTCTTTCTTTCTTTTTTTTTTTAATAGAGGCATGTTTTATTTATTTATTTATTTGTTTTTTGTTTATACATGCACTGGGTACAGTCAGAAGCGTAGGAGGGTGAGAGAATTCACCAGAGCCAGAGTGGGCAGCAGAGCAGGCAGAAGGACCGAAGTACACTGCTGAGGGGAGCAGCGGGCGGCAGGAGAGGTCTGTGCGCCATGTGGGACCCTCCTCCGGTGGGTGGCGGGGGAGCAGCCAGGGATTGAACCAGCGCCGCAGAGGCTGCGGGCAGCTTCGCAACCCAGCGCTCTACCGCTGCACCGCCGGAGAGGCCCGGAATTGTGTTTTCATTTAACTTTTTGGAAAAAAAAATTTTTATTCTTGTGAACGCCAATGACAATTATATTTTTCTTGTACTATCCTATATTTCACTAAAATTACTGCAATCCTCAAAAAATCTCATGTCAATATTTAAATAGACTTAATGATTAGACTTATTGAATTTAAGATTTTAAACATCACCTCAGGAAGATAGCGAATTGCCATTAATTAAAATGCATGTCTCAAAAAGAAAACATGTCACTTCAAGCAATGATTTATAAAATACTATTAAACAGATCTTTCTTATCCACCCTGATTCTGAGGTGTTAGAGTAGGTCATTTCTGAAGGGAGATACACATCTGACCACTATCCCTTCCTCTGTCATTGCTAGTTGGAAAAGACAACTAATCTGCCTCTGCTTACTAGGAAAGTTTAAAAATGTGCTGCTTACTCTGACATAGTCCAACTCTGGTCTCTGTAGAGTCTGGAAATTGGTGTCAGGTGGAATCGCCAGATAAAATAAAGCAGCCATTTAAATTTGAATCTCAGATAAACAATGAATAATATTTTAATAATTTTTAGTATGATTGGCACATAGTATAAGCATGTCTCATAAATAAGTGTGCACTATTTAGGATATACTTATATTAAAAGATTGTGTTCATCTAAAATTCAAATTTAAGCAAACATCTGTATTTTTATTTGCTAAATCTGGCAACCCTTGTCTCACGAGCATTCCTTTTCAACTGAAGCTTCTTCAGGAGAAAAGCAAACTCATGGGTATTAAAAACTAAATAATGAGGGTGTTTTAAAGGCACATTGTGAAATGTACTTACAATAGGCAGAAGGAGGAACTTGAAGTAAATAAAAGTTAATGATATGTTGAAATTGGCTAGGACCGGAACAGGAGAAAATGTAGCTACAGATGCTTCTTACTTAAGATACACAGACACCAGTTTAACAAAATGAAACTATTGTAAGGGCAAAAAACAAAATTTTCATTTGTATCATGAACCAAATAAAACACTCTGATGTGATCCTCTCTGAGCAATTCTGATATTTCCAGAAATGGATATGGCCATGTGGAATATTTCTCTTACAAAGAGCTTTCTGGAAAACTACACTATAGTTAATGTAGTAGAAAAAGAAAACCACAGGATTCCCACTGGAGAAAAAAATAAAGAGCTAACAGAGCATTAGGTGGAAACTCTGCTGTGCTAAGACTCCCAAAGGAGGTATAAAGAGACTCACTGAGGAGATTAAGTTTGGAGATGTTTTGAGAAATGGTGCCCACTGCCTAAGGAGCCATCGAAGAGAGAGAACATTGTGGGAGGAGAGAGATGGCCAGAAACTTTCATAGATGAAGTCAGCATCAAAACAACCTAGAAAAGTGCAAACATGCAGGTAACAGTTGATTTTCTCGTCACCTTTGTAGGTCTTCTTTGTGGATTCTATCTCTTCAATGTTTCTTTCATCAGATCCTTGGTTTGTTAACATAATGGCTGTCCTTCAATATCAGAATTCATGACCCCTTTAGTGCTTTGGTAGGTGGAGAAGAAGTTGTATAGTGCAAATGCAGATTCCACCAGGGATGGTCATCTTTGCCTCCTTCCTTCCTCTATGTAATTAGCTCCATGGGGGAATTCATCAGGGACGTGACGCAGGTTCTC